TTTTTAAATATGCTTAAGGTCAGTTGGTCAGTCATATACGTGATAGCTCTGATGTATCCTCTGTGGTTGATATTGTGACAGCATTTGTATTTTTGTGCTCGTCATTAAATTTTTGTGAATGCTTGTGGTGATTGTTTCAATATGATTGTTAAACTTCAAATCAAGAATTGCATTAGCATTTTTGATTGCTCCGTACAAATGTTCAAGGAAAAAAAAAATGTTGGGGTCGTTGTGATTGGGACTGGAGATTATTTAAAATGTGCTTGATTCTGAGTTGCAATTCAATCAGTACATATTTATTTAGACCTCAGGAAACCTAAACGTGGGATCCTCTTTTACGATTTAGGTGTACAGCTCGTGGAAGGAAACCAATTTTTCAACACAATGGTGCTACGAGAATTATATCCAGGTAGATCCCAATAATACATTTTGGCTGTTTATGTTGAGATGGTCTCTTCTCATTGCTCATTTGAGTTATTTCTGGTGATATAATCTGATACAATTGTCATAAAATTCATAATCCGGATAAGATGCAGATAATTCGTACTCACTTTGTGAATACATTTAGTGCTTGGAATAATTGAAGTGGAATTTATCATTTTCTGCAGATTTAAAGAACTTGTTTCGAGGTTGTTGGTTGTCTTTGTCCTTTAAGAAACTTTGTAAACTTCTCCAGCCAGATTGGTGTGTCTTGTGGAGCACTTGGGAAAATTTGACAGTTTTCTTAATTATCTGCCTATGTTTTAGGTTAGAAGCATGAAGAGAGCTAGAGATATACGTGATCAACTAGAAGGGCTTTTGGAAAGAGTTGAAATCGAATTGACTTCCAATCTGAATGATTTGGACGCAATTAAGAAAGCTATAACAGCAGGGTTTTTTCCGCACTCTGCAAGGTTACAAAAGAACGGGTCATATAGAACGGTCAAGCATCCACAAACAGTTCATATCCACCCGAGCTCTGGCTTGGCACAGGTAAAATCATATATTTTTTTCATTGAAAATGCTAAAACAAGTTAAGTCTATTTTGAATTCCTTTATTAAAACCTTAAATTACATCATCATCCTCTTCTCCTTTCTTCTACCCATATCTCGAGTATAATTCATATATAAAAGGACGTGTTTGTATTTATTATGTGGCTGGCTTTATACTCGTTATGAATCTTTATGTTTTATTTGTCAAGTGTTTGTAATGATTTTGTAGCTTCATAAGACTTTCTTTGACCCCGTTGTGTAGGTACTTCCAAGATGGGTCGTTTACCACGAATTGGTTTTAACAACTAAGGAGTACATGCGTCAGGTCAGAGTTCTCCCATATTTCAATTCCCGTTTTTTTCCTGCAAAATATCTTGTGGCCGTTTGCCACTAAAACTCGCCTCTCGACTTTGGAATACAGGTGACAGAATTGAAACCAGAATGGCTGGTAGAAATAGCTCCACATTATTATCAGTTGAAGGATGTGGAAGATTGTAAGTCCCCCCCCCCCTCTCTCTCTCTCTCTCTCTCTCTCTCTCTCTTCTGTCTTACCCTTATTTCAATAACTTCTACTGTGCAGTGAATTCGAAGAAAATGCCACGTGGCGAGGGTAGGGCTGCTAAGGATTGAGTTCAGAGAAGTCTATGCCGGCACAACGTAAAGCGTGCCTCTATTTGTTGGATAATATGTGCTTTTTGTAGGGTTATATACAAATTTCCCATCTTTTGTTGTAAGTATATTATGATGTTAGTGTTCGTCAATGTAGCGAGATTTTTTTTTCTGTAAATGTACATATTCGTGGCTGATAAGTTTAACAGGTTTTTAATCACCTGAAAAGAGAGTTGGAAAAAATGTTGAATACACCACAACATTTTATATCCATAATCATCTTAAGTTTTATTTTGTACGCAATGTGAAATACTATTATCAGAGTGCTGTCATGTATGTTAGAGTTATGACTAAGGCTGGTAAATTTTTAGCTCATATCTTAAAAGTGAATTTCGAGTTTATAGCTGAAAAGTTAATTGATATGATAAAAGTGGTAAAATTAGTTGATAAGTCGGCTGAAATAAAAATTTCAATAGAATTATTTGAAGAGATACTCAAGCAAACTTATTTTCCTCATGAAATAAATTCGAGTTAGTTAATCAAAATTTGTTTTACCAAATTAAATTTATTTGTATATATTAAGCTTATAAGTTATCACAGCATGAGATTTTGAGGGCGTTAAACTAACATTTTTGTTGGCTTTTCCCCCATATTTGTGCTGAGCCTAGAGAAACATAATAAAAATCGAAAGTACCTCTGGCCAAAAACATTCATTTGAACAGAAACTACAAGTATGCATTAACAAATGTCTTTCATCACAAGATAACTTCACTAGGACATTATCAGGGTTGTTTTGCACAAACTCCTCCATTTATCTTCATTTGAGCATAAACAACAAACATGCATTTAACAAAATTCTTTCATCACAAAAGAGAATTCACTAGGGCTTTTTCGGACTTGCTTTGCACATATTCCTCCATTTATCTTTGAGATCAACAGTGCTACGACATTGATGGAAGACACCGGCCCCATGTTCCAGAATTTTCTTCCACGGAATTAGTTTGTCGTGTGGGCTACAGTGTACCCTCATTCCCTCCTGTTTAAGAGAAGAAAATCGCATGCTATTCCTGAGTACATTGAGAAGTGCAAGTACAAAACTGAATGCCTATTACTGAAAACACACTCTCAAACTACATGTACAAAGTATAATTGTATAAAGCTCAATTTGAGAAGAAAAACAATTAGCATTGGATGATAGCTCCGATTGATTGTAACGATCTGCGTATAACTTGTACCTGCTTGGGTATGATATGAGCATGTAGTTGCTTGTTATATCTTGTGAGACGACAGATTTTAAATTTTTAAGAGAAATATTTCTATTTGTCATTAAGGTAAAAATATTAGTCCTCTATTGCATGCCCATGCAAGACGAAAAAAAAAAAAAAACTATCAGTTTTCGGGATTTTTCATTGAAAATAGAAACTTTATCAACTTCTCCACTCGAATCACCAAGGTTAAGTAACAGAGCATGAGCATATCTATATGGCACTGTTAATTATATGGATAAACGGCATGGTCCTTTCCATAATCAAATAGATAAAACTTGGGATTTGAGGATAAAGACCATGATCACAGGAAGGGAAACTCAGAGCAACTAGATCCTAGCAGGATTATAGACACACACGTACGAATATATTTATTAAATATACAAGCTATTAACAAAATAAAACCCATGGACTCGGTTATATTTCTATGGAATGAATTTATTCTTTAATTTCGTCAAGTGGAACAGAACCTAAGCTTTAGGTTTGCAACTGGAGACAAAAAAAGAAGGGACCAAAGCAAATATAATTAGCACTAAAGCTATGTGTGGTCCCCCTTGATTATATTTGCTGCTCGACAATTTGGATGTAGAAATAGTAAAGGATGGGTGATGAAGAATACATTACCTTTAACTTTTCTTCTTCTTCACTAGTCCAGGGGATTCGTTTCCGTCTCAGTTGAGGAATGGCTGGATATGAACTGCATAGGAAGATAAGATTAACTTAATCATTACTCTGTGTTAATGCAAGGAACACAATCCTATCTACTACAATCAAAATGATTATTTATTCGATTAGTCCAGCTTGACATGATCTGTCCGGATATCCATTTTATTTTGACAGAGTTGAAGCTTGGTTCGTTTACCTCCTCTCACTTTTCACTTATTGATTTTTTTTTTCCTTTCAAAAAGTAAAAACAAGGTCATGTTATCGGGAATTTCTACCCAAATAGATGCTAAGTAATGATATTTGTCCTCAGTTACTGAATGCAAATGCAAATAACATTATGGATCTATTACTAATAAATTAAACAGGCATTACAACAACCCTTGAGGATAACCACAATTCTCAATGCAGAAATAACATTTTGCAGCAATTATCTCTCCTTCCAGCCAGTACCAAAAATTTAAACAAAGACAACATGTCCTTATCATTTGCAAGGAAAAAAAAACTTACGGTTTCGTTTTTTGTTTTCGAACTCTTACAAAGTTCTTGGAGGGCCCTGAGTTCTCATTTTCTTGCTCTGATGTTTCTTCCACGTCAGTGGATTGAGAGCTTCGCGAAGATTTGTTTCCATGAGGTAAGTCTGTTTCCGGTGAACGCAAAGTTCCCCTTTTGGATCCAATATTGGCACGCTTCTCACTCCTACCATGTCCCTCAATAACCTGGTTGGATGTACTTTTTCCCCGAGATATGTCAATCTCCACTGCAGGTCTCTGTTGTTCTCCACTACCTTCCTGAGATTTGAAAGATTCCCCACCTTTCGGAGATTGGGTATTGGTTGAGGCTAAAACTTTTCTTCCAAAAGGAGGACTGTGTTCTGAAAGACCTGGCTGTTCATATTCCAATTTCCTCCTCCGATGACGATCACTGACCCTTTCTGCTCTCCTTTTCAATTCATTACCCTTAGGCAAACCATCATCCTGTTCCAAATTATTTTCATTCGCCTTATATAATCTCCGAGACTGTTTTTCTGATCCTTTCTGGGTCCCCAAGCAGAAAAAAGTTGCCAAGTCCTTCCTTGCCAGGGCAGTCCTTTTCTTAATCTCCATGTACTTTGAAATTGCTCGAGAATATGCACAAAACGGGCAGTAAAATTCCCCAGTTGTGTCAGAGTCAGCATCTGAACCCAAACAGCTCTGGTGAATTACTAGAGGACAGGAATCTGAACCACAAACCAGTAATTTTCCGCCCAAGTTACATTTTACACATAAATTTAATCCTCTCCAATCAATTGTAGCCAAAGAATCTTGACTGTATGTGCACTGGGAGCTCAAAAATGTTTTCTTCTGCGTAGCAATATTAGTCCTTTCGTCATGGCATCCATCACTGTCAGTAGATATATTGAAATCTTCATTTTCATCAATATTTGGGAGATTCCCCAAAACACTTGGTTGCAATCGATCCACGTCATTTGTTGTTCTGAGCCCACGCAGAAGACTCTCATCACCTGCTGGATTCTCACTGTCGCGATCTTGTCTCTCCTCACCATCAAAATTGCCATTTTGGCATGGTGGTACCAAATCTTGAGCCTGATTGTCATGAGGCAAAACTCCATCCCGAGTAACATGATTTAATAAAGTATACATGTCATTAACATCTTCCAGAGGTCTACTTTGCTCCACTACCTCTACATCAGCCTCCTTCCCTAAACTGCACCTTTCTTCACCACTGTCTCTCGTGGATGCACCTGCCATATTTTGATCTCTACATGTAGTTGTTGTCAAGGATTCTTGTTCCGTTGCATCCGTTGTGGTAATATCAGCATGGTCATCATTTTTTCCATCAGTATTTCCAATGGTATCGACTTCTTCCACTTTCTCGTCACCTTTTTCTCCCTCAACGTCATGGTTTTGGCCACGCTTAGCCTCAGTTTTGTTATTCGGTTCAGTGTCACAAAGAACCAGCTTCTCACATGGTAAAACGTCATTAGAACCACCAAGCCCCTTCGGTGAAGTACACCCAATTTCGTTAGAAGGTCTGTCCATCTCCACGTCCCCAGCACAAGACTCTGTTCCCAAACTGGATCTTCTTCCCTCACTGTGCTTCACAGATTCTGCAGGCTTATCGGCTAATTGTGCATCATCAGCCGCAGATATCACTTTCTCACCTACATTCTGTTCATAGGAAATGATGTCATGCTTATTCTTCTTGACTAACTCAACATGCGTTTCAGAGACATCTTCTGTCAGGTTCTCACTAGTGGCCCTTCTTTTCCTGTTAAGTGGTGCTATATTCTCATCCGGTAGATCTCTTCGTGAGACGTCACCATCATCGGCACCAGTTACTCCATGCTCAGGTTCTTTCTTATCTTTCAAACCACTTCGTTCCTTCAAAGATGCAAGGAAAGAATGGCCTCCTGTACGCACTGCATTTTTCAGCTGAATAAGGGGGAAAAAAGGAGAATGTAGGAAGATTAGAAGAAGCAAAAGTAAAGTTTTATATCTTTTCACTATTCATGCATTTAAGATCACACAGATCTATCCACCTTCTCTAAAGCATGCCGAGTCAAGCTAGATTTTTTATACTGGATAAAAGGCTGAAGGTCCCATTTTGACATCTCTGGGAAAGGAGGTTTCAGATGCAGTGGAGATATCTGCAGATACGCATGATTTATATCAGTATCAAGACTTGCCTGAAAGAAAAATTATTGCTGGCATATTGCCTTTCTTATTCAAATAATTAAACAAATGAGGTACCTTGGTCAAATCCTCAGTCAATATTCGTTGAAGGACATCTTCACAGCTATCTTTAGATGGATCTAATTTAATTTTTTGAATCGAGGTAGAAGATACTGTATTTACACGAGCTCCTTGAATGAATAAACTCTCTAAAATTCTCAATGATACCATTTCCCTTGCATTTTTACCATGATCATCAGATACCTCTGGTGTTCTCTCAAGTAAATCTATGGCCAGAAATGTAAAACTTTCAAGTCTAAACAACAAATTACCAGAGCCACTAATAAATTTTTCCATGAGACATAAGGGCGACATCCATGATTACCTAGTAAAAGAGTTGTATCAACTTGGTCAGAGCATGCTAGTGTCTCAATGACCCAAATCCATGGAAGAGGTGATGTACAGGAAAGCTGGCAATCCATAAAAGACTGCTTCAAAGTATCAGCCATGATACCCTGTTATCATTATGCTTTATAAAAGCACCACAAAGTCAATTTAAGGCACATTCTATTTTCTGGATATTTATGCAAGAGAAAATGTTGTAGTGATCAAGTAAATGCGTGAAAAATAATGTCACAAACGCTCAATCCACAATTAGAACCTCACAACTGCTGGAAATGGAATGCTATATTGATGCACATGCAGTTCAAAACAAAAGATATTCTCAGGGCTGCTTCATGTCACTCATCCAATATATGAATAGCACAGTTGTATAAAGGTTCGTCAAGACAAACATACTAGTCGTCACCTCAATGCAAGGAATACTTTGATAAGGAATAATCATAATCCACATATAGGAAATGGTTCAACAGGAAATCAACAAATCTCTAGAGGGCAAGTTAATCACGAATAAGGCGCTTAACTACACTATTTGACCAACTATATGGACAAAATTATTTTCTCATCCCAATAGAACGAGAATAGTTATTATCCTAATTCATGTCAAAACATTAATAATCGATTTCTTTCATAAACTCACACTGAAAAAATTACATCCATTCGACTTCAAATGCATAAAGAGCTTCCTCTAACAATCTTCGAAACAAGTGACATTTCCTATTTCGCACTTGTCAACACAAAACATATCTTCTACACCAACATCGCTTTCATCTTGTCAACAGATTATCCTCTTCCAATCAATTCCTAGGTCACCAAAAACACAGCACATATCGAACATCCAAGCCATATCCCCAATTCATAATCTCATTAGTCACAAAACTAATAAAAACACACAATCGCCATCAGGATTTGTCTACATCTGAGCACGAGAGCGAGCCGTATACGCACGTAAAATTGCACCGATAAAATCGATTAAAACGACCACAAACAAATCAAAAAATAACAGATAAAGTGCACCGATTGTTACACGAAGCTGTGGAGGATCCGCCGCTAAAGCTATCGCTCAATCTGCAGAGAGTCGATTTGCAGTTCTTCCTGGGTTTTTCGGGAAATATAGTGTATTGTGTACAGTGAGAAACTGACGATTTTGAAGAGCAATTTTGGTACACGTTAAATCTGGAAATTTCTGTTATATATTTGAGCAGTATATAGAAATATTGGGTAGAAAAAAATGAAGGAAAGCCGTGTTTGGTGCTTGCGCTTTCTATCTAATGAGCATCTTTGGACAATTTTGGCGACACAAAGCACCATTAGACTATCAATTGGAAATGCTACCGTCTCATTACGGAACTATTTTATCAGTTTGTAACCGTTAGATTATTATGTAACTGTGAGAGATAGGTGATCTAACAGTTACAAATTCGACGGAATAGTTCCGTAACGAAACCGTAGCATCTTCCTCATCATCATCAACCATATATGTAAAAAATTACATATTTATATTATAAAATATTGTACTTTTTATTTAGATTTATATTTTATTATTTAAAGTATAATACATTATGTACATTAGTTGAAAGATTATGAATGATTAGAAATGATCACCTACCCACGGTGGGCATATTAACATGTGCCCACCGTGGATTGAGGATTATTTCTATATGAATGATTTCTCAATTATAATTGTGTTCTCAGTTTGCTTTTTTCTTTTTGCCTTGTAAGTGAAATAAATGAAAAATTAGGGTTATACATTCCTTTTGTAGATAAAATACAATTTTAATAACATGAGATGGTATAAATATTTTTGGTAATAATTGAAAAATATAGATGTTTCAATTATGTTAATTAAATGAAAGATAATAATTAATTTGTTCTAAAAATACCAAGGATAAGGATACGATTAGCTATATATCTATACTACTAGTTTTATCCCGTGCATTTGCACAGAAAGTGATATAATAGAAGATAAAGTAATTAAAAAATATAGGATGATAACAAAAGTCATAACTTAATGAATGAAAAAATTATATAGTATCAAA